CTAATTAAATAATAAAATAAATGAAATAAGGGTATAAATAAGTTTTATATTACCCAAATTTATATGGCTTCATTGGTATTTCTGATTACAATTTTTTTGATACCAGGAACCAAACTCAGGATGTTGTGCTTGCCAGGCTGGAGCTGTGCTGCTAAGCTATTTGTCACCCCTTTTCTGATTACTTAAGTAATATATTCTTGATAGAAACAAGCTAAAATAAAATACAGCCCCACTACTGAGGATATGCATATTTCTTCACACATTCTATAGTGCTATTTCTCAATATTCAAGGTGATAGTTTAATTGAAAAGTCTGTAAAACAAATGGAATACTGTTTGTGTGACCAATTTTTCTAAAAGAGTCAAAATTAGATTCTTTTGCTCTGTAAAGAATAATAAAATTTTACATACTTTCTATTTCATTATTTTCTAGGTATAGATGTTCCAAATTTCTTGGGATGTAGAATGCTTCCTTCAATTTGTTGTGTCCAACATTGAGCTCTATAAGGTTGGAAAGATTAAAAATATTGTATGGAATATCTTGCAGTTTGTTGTGTGACATTCTTAGAGCATGAAGTTTTGGAAGTTTGTCAAAGTAATTCTCTGGTATAGAAGAAATAGAATTATTTTCTAAAGATAGATACATAAGTGAAGAAGGCAGTCCAGGTGGCATTGATTCCAGTCTGTTATTGCATAGGTTGAGCTGCATCAATTTTTCCATCTTGGCAAGGTGTTTTTCTTTTAACATAGAATCATGAAGATGATTATAACAGAGATCAAGCATGGTCAAGTTTACTAGTGTATCCATGGCATTTGTCTGCAGTGTGGAAATTTTATTGTAACCAAGAAGGAGTCTTTCCAGAGATTTAGGAAGAGGATATGGAAATTCTTCTAAATTGTTATGCTCAAGGTGAAGTTGTAGGAGATTTGAAAACTTAGAAAACACACCATACTCAATACTTTGAGATTTAATTTTGTTGTGACTGAGGTTAATTTCTCTAAGATTAGTTGCATTGGTGAATGAACTTGCTGTTACAGCCTCAATTTCATTGAACTGAAGGTTGAGTTGCTGAATGTGCATTGGAATATTTGGGATCGTCTTGAGTTTGCGATTATCACAATACATTGATGATGGAAAATTAATTGGACAGAAGCATTCACTGGCACAGCCTAAAATATGTTGATAAGGAATTCCATATTCTACATTTGGATGAAATTGGAATTCTGGTTCATAATCTTCATTTGGTGATGGGTCATAATCTTCATCCCACTGATAAATTTCATATTGGCAATCTACCTTCACTTCAAAGAGGAAGAAAAGGACAGATACTGTACTTAAAAAGCTCATGTTCTTTTTTTGTCCTATTGCAAGGAGAAAAGGAAATACATTGTCGGATATGTGAATACAACTAACACAGATTGTCATATAAATTGACAGTTATATGAAATGTATTATACCTACACCTGTATATAGAAGAATATCTAGGAAGAATCAGCAATACTCAAATCAAAATTAATGTTTTAGCACCAATGAAGTAAAATTTTTTTAAAAAATCACATACTGAATTGAATCAGTCAGAATTCTGGTTTTCTAGACTTTTTACTAAGCTCCATTTATGTTCTTTCACTAAGTTTCCAGTTGTTCTGCTTCTGGTGTATAGATTTATGGTGATAGCATGACATCATTCTACTATAGTCATGTTTTCTCCACTGTGAATATTGTTTGCCAACTAGTCCATCTTTTAGGGTAGGTTACTGCTTATAAAAAGACAGACTTCTATTTTACTTGGAGAGCTTTTGCGTATGGAGTCTTGCTGTTAAACCAAAATTCTCTTCCCTATAACCTTTATTCCTGGTACCCTTTTCTGCCTTTGAGAAAACATGAAATACAACCTTCTATGTGATGACTTTAAATATTTTAAAGTAGGTATGTTTCCTCTTAATATTTTTTGTACAAGCCTACCTATATTTTCAAGTTTTCCTCATGAAAGTTTCCAGAATCTATTTTGTTTCCAACTTTGCTTCAATAGCTTCTTGAAATCTCAACACACAATATATACATCCTACAAAGTTTTAGTTTCTTTTTCTTTTTTGTATTTTTTAGGGAAGGATCTACAAGGTGTTCAGGTTCTCACTACTAGATCCGACTAGTAGTGATCCATCTGTTTACAGCCTCCCAAGAGCTAGGATTACAGGCATGCCACCATGCCCAGTCTCAATTGACATCTCAGCATGCCCTGGGGGCAGGGCCAGTGCAGCCTGGGGATTGAACCCTTGGCCCCTGTGCCCCCTTGCAAGTGCTTTAATCCTCTGTGCTGTTTGACTGGCCCCAAAGTTTTAGTTTCTAATAGATTGACATTTACATTTTTCTTACTCTTTCTTTTTTTCTGCTAATGTTTTTGAGTTAAGGTCTAGATATACAAATTCTAAAAACATGTAGTCTCTGTCTCCTAGGATGTTCAAGTCTAGTGAAAGCAGAGAGGTATACAATGCAGGATTACAGCAGGATATTACCTAAGGACCACAGTTACATTAAGGGTCTTTGACTCTGAATAACTCTAAAATCTTAAATATACATTATATTTATATTCTGTGTATTCTTTTGACAAGAGATAAAAAATGCAGATATTTCTCAGAGTTCTACCAGAGAAAAGTATTTTCTCATTATGCCAATTATCTTGTCCTCCGTTCTTCCTGCATACCCATATCCTAGGTTTGGATTGACCAGTACAGTAACCTTCTGTATTTTCAGTTTTGAGAGCCTGACATTCTCACTGTCACTTCGCATATAATTGCAACTACAAAAATTTTCCATTTCACAATGTAATAATTATTGTAACTGTCCTACTAACCTGTTTTGAAACTGTTTCATTGCTATTTTTTCTCATTAAAATGAATAAAAAATTTAAAAATTTTTTTCGGCTTCAATGGTACCTAGTATATATTGATCCTACTTTTTTCTTCACTGTCCTTTATGCATACTTCCCAATATCATTTTTACTAACAGCTCTTACAGTTTATTGCAGTGTTAACTCCTCCTGCCCTCAATGTTCTAGCTCCTCACATCTTACAAATTCCAACATTCCTTACATACTCTCAGTTCAGCTCACACAGCTGAATATGAATAGAGCAAAAACGACTGAGTAGACAGATCTCATTCAGTTCTCCACCTACCTCAAGTGGTGCTTGGCTAATCTCCTTAGTTTGTCCCTGTTTTCTCTCTTCTAGGCTATTCCTTTTCTTCTCTCTACCTTCTAAAACCATATTCCCATTACTATGTATGGATGATATCTTGCTTCCTTTTTTCATCAAGAAAGTAGAATAAAATATTTAAATACATTTATCCTTACCTATAAAAAAGGCAAAATAGTAATAATTTGCTCTCCTAAATGCTACATGATTTTGGGATTCATAAAGTTTCTTTTTGCAAATCTGAATATATTATATCTATTTTTCTTTCTTTTCCATATGATTCGTAGAGATCATAGTATTGACTTAAACTTTGGAAGAATGTTAGAGTTCTTGTAGAACATAGTGAAGGCTATTTCCAAGTAGATGAAATAAGTAACAGTAGGGTAGCCACACACCATGAAGTGTTTAAGAAATGGTGATTAACTGTTGAAAGAAGCAAAATAAGACTAGTATAACCCAAATTGAGAGCACCTAAATTCTGAGTAAAAGGCTTCGTACTCTGGGAATTAATGCTTAATTTAATGAACGAATATATCTGAGCCATGATCTTCATCCTGCATCTCATACTGAGAAGAAGTGGGGAGAACAAGTTGTCATTTCGTCTCGAAGGACACTGTTAAGAGAAAGCCTGCTCTCCATGCTGCGCGAAAAGCTCCTCTCATGTCTTGCTCTCATTTACTTGGTATAGTTACTCTAGTAGGTACTGTATGCAGTAGGCTTAGTAAATCACTTTACAAATATTAGTAATTTGGATTACCCCAGTATTCAGTTGTCTTGAGTGCACTCTCTCTCCCTCTCCCTCTCCCTCTCTCTCTCCTTCTCCCTCTCCCTCTCCCTCTCCCATATTCTCTCCCTCTCTTCCCTCTTCCTCTCTCTCTTTTGATGGGGTCTTGTTATCAGTCCTACATTGGTAGAGAACACAGAAATAAAGAGGATATGAAGACATGGTTCCCTCTATAGAGAACAAATGGTTCAGTGGTAAGGAAGACACCATAAGAACTCATAACTATGCCATAGAGTAAGTAATATGATTTATAGTGGAGACAGGTTTGGATTGACCAGTCTGTGGAGCTCAGTGTCTTGACCCTGCTTGGGTTTAGTTGGAGTTGTTTGTAGACATAATTTGATCCAAACTTTGTGAGATGAGCAGAAGTAAGTATAGAAAATCTTGTGCATCTTACTCACTTGATATTTTATGTGTAATTTTATAGAATTTTGTTGTACTCATTAGAGTATAGCATGTGAACTTTTAAATCACTTTTTAAGCACTTATTTCATTCCCATTAAAGCCCCTGGAGTTGGGCTATGAGGCTTCTTCCCAAAAGACACAGGTTGCAGCTGAGGAACGGAGATATACCCTGGCATTGCGCCAGGCCCCTGAGGCTGACTGTCACGTGGATAAGCTTTGCAAACAGCATTGTTCTTAGACACTTGCTCTCAGTGTCTATCCTTATATCTAGAAAATGAGCAATCATGAGACATCATTGAGGCAGAAAGGATATCAGGATGATATATTTGATCCCTACACCTATTACATATTTTTTACTTATAATCAAACCTGCTTAACTAGGTCCTCTCTGAATATAGAAGGGTTTTTATGTTGACCTTTGACCTTCATGAAAAGAAGAAAAAAAAACGACATGATTTTAAATATCACAAGGTTTCTCTAATATAAGAAACCCAAATGATAAAGAGTAAAATAAAAATGTGGATAATAGTAAGTAGGGAGGTAGATCTTTCTCAGAGATGGAGGAGGAGAGAAAAAGAGGGTAAAAAAAGAAATTATGTATATGCACCAACTCCACACAAGGACTGTAAACATTATGTACTGTAAACATGTACTAATAAAAATAAAATTGTTTTAAAAGAGAAGAAAAGCTTTCCCTGAAGGCCAATTTCTATTCTAAATTTGAATTCATTTCAAACATTCCTTCCATGTCTGTAACCCTGTAGTGCCACCTTGTCCTCACTTTGGACTAAGTGCAGTTTTCTAGTCTGAAATCCGTCCTGTTTCCCTCCATTTGCTTATTTACTATTCCCCTCCCTCTTCTCCATGGTAATTTTCTCTGAAACCATAATTTTCTTTTTATCTAAGTAATCTCTTTTCAGCCATTTACTACCATACTTTTAATCACTTCTGCTTTTCATATTCTACAGTCTGTGCCTTAGTTATCCCTCTTGGATAACTCACAGCAAAACAGCATGACTCGCTGTCTTTTCCTAATCTCTGATTTTTAACAGAATATAGGACAGTGCACACTAGCAATTACAAATGATTGAATTCATAAACTACAGATTAAATTTTGTTAGAACGTGTTTTCTCTACTAATTTTTATTATCTCTGGGCATTTGTTTCACCACAGTAATTTATTTAAGTATAGAGGATTTGGCTGTTCTCTTTTCTATGAAATAGTCCCCTATAACAGTGTATGTCCTTCTTCACTTTCCTATTGTCTACAAGGAAAACAACAAACATGAAAATAATTTAAAGTAAAATAAAATATATATTACCACTTTTCAAAAATTACCCATTAATGTGAATTGTTCATATTATATGATACAATAAAGGTTTCTATGTTCTAACATTTCCATTATGTAGGAAAAAACACTCATGTTTTCAAGACAGGCTCTAATGAAAATTATTAATAAATGGGATACAAATTATTTAGTTCTCAAATACTTATAAAGTAAAAGTATTATAACATTTTATTTTAAGAATGTTATTGTTGAGCTGGGGAGATAGCTCAGCGGCATATGTACTTGCCTGGCAAGCACACAGTCCTGCGTTCAAGCCCCAGTACCAGAAAAAAAAAAAAGTAATTGTTTTATTGGTATGCTATATAAACTAGCTTGTAAGAAACAAAGTATTAGGATATGTTTTAGTTTTAATCTAAAACAATTTTAAATTTAACTTTGTAAATTCTGTTGCTATTAAAAATATGTCTACATTTTTTTATCCATACTGTTCGTACATTGTATTTAACTTAAATCCCAGTAACAACAGATTGGATAAAGCATTCATACCTTCTTTGTACAAAAGATAAATGAAAACAAAAACATTCTATACCTGTGATTTAGTCAAGAGAAATTTTGAGCTTTTCAGTAAAATTTGTACCAATTTCTGTCTTCCCTACAATCAGACTCATAGTGCTGCTCAAATTACTGAGACCTAAGAAAGAAAGAGATTAATTCTGAAACCCCAAAATTTTTCCCTTCATTCAAAATTTAAAAATAAAAAAATTAAAATGTTTTGTTGGGTAATCTTAAATTACAAATTTAAATGTTCTTTAAAAATTGAAAATTATGTTATCATACCTGTTGAATTTGCTTTAGTTTTCAGGAGTTGATGAATTTGCAAATCCTTTAAATGAATCAGAAATTCCTAACTCTTTAACTGAGTCTCTTAAAAGATCCACAGTAACTGTACCCAGACAGGGTTGTCCCTTGAATTACTGTAGCAATTTAAGCAAATACAATCTGGTTGGAAAACACTTGGGTTGAATTAAAATGATGTATTTCTTTTCATTATACAAAACTGGGTAGATTCAAATTAAAATGTTTGTGTTGTTGGTCAGATTTATGTGGTTTACTTCTTTCTTTTGCCCGTTAATTTTGGTTTGAGGTGTGGCAAGAATTTCCTCTAATATGAAAGGCAAACTGAAGGAAAGGAAACAGCATGTCCTGATTACTGTTTTTATTTTCGTTTTCATGCCAAAGAATTCTTCAAATTAAGGTCCACTGTGACTCTGAGCCCTGTGTCTCAGCAATTTAAGGTGGAACTCAGAATTATCTTCAGTCTGGTTGTTCAGCACCTGTGTTCGCATCAAGTTCCCACGGGTAAAGTGAGGAATCAGAATTATAAACAAAGCATTTCACATCCAGTTTATTTTTAAAGTGCAGTAGGCTTATTATTGGTTTCACAGAGTAACAGGCTTATACTTTCTTTTCTGCCAGCTATCCCTTTTCTCAGCTATCCCCAGTTCCGAAATGCTGTATACCCATTAGATGTTTACTAAAGACCATTACAATAAAAGGACTACCTCTGCTATAAACATTAGTACCTTTCACTCTAAAAGTCTATCTCATATTTGCCTCTTTAATAGCATACAAAATAATTTTGTGGTATTGAATAAGATGGTTTGTACAACTGTTGCTTTTAGTTTCCAGATTTGGAAAATTTCATTTTACTGAATTGTCCCTCCTTAACTAGCTTGTTTAACTGTCCTTATTCAGCTAACTAGCTTGCTTAAATTTTTTGTGCTCATATTTTCACATTTAAACTGAGTTAATTTGTGTCTCTTGGCAGTAGATACTGAGTTCATTTTGGGGGAGATTCTTTCATGCTTGAACAAATAAGGTAAAATAAATCCTGAAGTTCAGTTTTGTTTCTTCAAATAGTTCTTTCCACTAAGACTTTACAAGGACCTTGCAAGATTTATTTTGTTATACTTCATATTTAAGAAAAATATATAGTGTTTCAAGTGATGTTTTGGCAATATTGTAAAAAATGTAGTCTATCATTTGAGACTTTGGTATGTAAAACGTGGCAGGCACATTTGGGCCAAGATTCCATTTTGTTAGCTGATCCTTTCCATATGCTTCCTATTAATGTCTTTGTTCTTGAATCTTAAGCTTTTGCATTGAGGAAAAGGGAGCAAATCTGTGTACTTTTTCCAAAATTATGATATATTCCTTCACAGTTGTTTTAGAGGATTAATTTAAAGTCAACCACTTAATTTTTATGTGATTCTTCATTAGCTGTGTAATTTGAATTTATGATAGTAATTATGTTCATGTTCCCATCAAATGTGAAAAAGTGATTTAAGTTGGCAATAATGTTGGAAATAAAGAGAGGTAGTGGTTACAGTCAAACTTTCAAGCAAAATAGGAACTGTTAGTGATAGTTTATAATCACTGATTTAATTAGTTAGATTTTTTTGTTGGTCGTTCCACTTTTTAGGTACTGAGGATTGACTCAAGGGCCTAGTGCATGCTAGGCAGGTAGGTTTTCTACCACTAAGCTGCATCCTTTTTTTAAAATTTTGAGTAGGGGTCTCATTTCGCCTCCCAAGTAGCTGGGTGCAGGTATGGTTTTAATTGTAGCAAAATTCAGCTGAGTTCTGAAAAGTCTATGCCTGCTTAATAAATACAGCATCTCAAAGCTAAGTGACACAGTGCTAGCTAAGAAAGGACCTCCCAAGATATGCTTAATTAATATAGTAAGTGTAACAAGTTTTTAATCATTTGTCCACTCATTCAATTTTTTTGTTATGTCCTTACTTTGTTTAAGGCATTTTTAGATGCTAAGGACTCAGTAAAAATCTTGTTCTAGAGAAGGAAAATATAAAAGAAACATTTATCAAATGTGCAGAGGGTAATAGAGAAGCAAGATAGAGGGACAAAAATAAATGAGATAGAAGGGTAAGGGTTAACAGTTCTGGTACTGCTATGTGACTTGGAACGGAACAGTTACTGTACAGTGGATGGTAGGAGCCTGGTATGAGGCTAATGAGGTGGGAGGTTACAGATAAGGGGTCAAGTAGTGAGACTGGTCCGGTATGGCAGATACCCAGTCTAGCTGTTCTCCCTCTCTTCCATTTTCTGTGCTTTTTATTTTTATTTATTTATTTATTTATTTATTTATTTTCTGTGCTTTTTAGTACATACTTCACTTTGTCTGGCTATACATCTGCCTTGTGTTTCGCTGGCATATTCTCAATTTTTAGCCCATACTGCTGCTTAATTCTAGAGTCATGAATGAAGCCAGTAAAGGTCTTTAAAACTAGGTATGTTGTAATTTTCTTTTTCTACAAGTGAAAGAAGCTAGTATATATAATTTCATTTATTTAAAGTTAAAGAATAAGCAAAATTAATTTGTGGCAATAGATGCTATAAAATAAATATCCTTAAATCTGGGGTTGTGGGCATAGATGGGGAAGAGCTATGGAAACCTTCTGGGGTGAGAGATTAGAGATGTTAATCTGCTTTGAAAAATGGTCCTGGGACAATTGGATAGCCAAGACCTGCCATATCCAAATTTACTTCCAAATGAAACAGAAAGCTAATTGTTAGAATCAACATATAAATATACATGAGCTTGAATTAAGCATTAGTTTCATGGATGTGACACCAAATTAGAGATTACCAGTATCAAAACCTTTCATGTATCAAAATGCATTATCAAGAAAGGTTTTTTATTTTTATTTTTTTAAAGCCACAGATAGGGGAAAAGAAAAAAAAAAAAAAAAAAAAAAAAAGAAGAAGAGTGAACCAGAAGAGGAGGAGGTGAAGGAGGAGGTGGTGGTGGTGGTAGAAGAAGAGGAAGAAGAGAAGGAGGAGGAGGAGGAGGAGGAGGAAGATGAGAATAAGTGGCGTGTAATGACATGTGGAACGTATGTATGCTCAGGCCATTGTTTTGCTAAGAACATGAATTCAAGTGCAGCTTAGCATTAGCTTCAGTATAAAAACTGTATTATACAGAGTTTCGTATAGCTGATAAAATTCTTTGTAGAAAATATACTTTAAAAAAAAATTCACGTTGTATTAAAAAAGTAATACTACTTTATGTAGTAGCTTTTTGAGGGGCTACTACATACAGTTAGATTTTATAGCTTTTGATATTGAATGTTCCTAAATATTTAATGGTTTCTTTCATGTGTATGGTAGCACAACCAGTTTGCAGGAACTAGTACCAATAGTAAGTTTTGGGTTGTTTAGGATGTTGCATTTTGTGCTTTTTAAAAAAAAATTTGAAATAAAATTA